TATGACACAGTGGGTCGGGTGGATAACTAAGTTCAAATGTGAAATTTCCAAGCTCCTGGCGTGGCTTCGTAACTCGGCTGGTAGAACACTTGCAGTGTTTTGGCATGGTGTTTCTGTCGCTGGTTCGAATCCAGCCGAGGCCCTGACTTTTCAAAATTAGGTTTCACTTTTCTGTTGCATTCCGAATGTTGGTTCATTCTTTTTATCGGCAATTTTGTCATTAATCAATTCTTACCATGCACGGTATAGTTCGACCAATTACACAAACATTCGTCCGTGTATTTGTACTATTTGAGACGAGTTATGCTGATTTCCGTTTATTTTCTTCATGATAGTGAAGATGTCTCACCAGATTTTCATTGTACTATCGAAGTGTACGCACATCCTCGGTCTTCGTCCAAAGCAACTTCGGTGTTCACTCGCCGTCGTAGCCAGGCCCTCGACATTTTCAAAAAAGCGCTTGATCAAGTAAGCTCTCAAGTTGTATGATACAGGACATCAATTTTCTGCCTTATCTTTTTCGTCATCACAGCCACATTTTTTTGCGGTCCCTTAACCAAACGGATTTAGGTATCTCAATAGTGGTTTTGTTTTGGATTCGTAATCCGCGTTACATTCATTAGCGGGCAACCTGCCGTATCGCATGTGAATCACGTGTTATCAAAATTTCATAACTTATACATCCGCTTGATGTGTCATCGACTGTTTCACATGCGTCTTGTACGTTTGTCGACCAAGGGATAACCATTTGGATTGGCCACCTTGTCGACGTTGAGAACCAATCGTACACACTTCTCTGGCTTACACAATGCATATTGCCTTACGTTGAATTGACTGTTTTATACCTACTCATCTTATCGTTGCACCAAATCGCTCAAATAGTCTATTATCATTCTGTTAAGCGGTATATACAACAGTAACCTAAACGGGATGCATTCAAGTTAACCAGGATTCAGGGCCGGCACTAAAAATTTTTCTCATTCATTGCTCATTCGTACACATAGGGTCAAAGTACCCCCATTCATGCCCGAAACGGGAAGCAGGGGCAACACATGCAGGTGATCAATCGCCTAGCTTTTCCGCGAACGTCGTTCAGACTGGTATGACCAGCTCATCATGCACACATGTCTTAATCTTGCACTAATCCAAACTGCTGAATCGCAGTCACATTCTGTGGTGTGTGGACTGCATCGCATGCACCGACCGCTTACATTCCACTTCCAGAATCTTCATTCACGATTATACAAAACGAATCTCAATTCTTCGGTCCGTATGATTCGATTTCGCGCAAACAGCGTCATCCCGTCATTCTTGCTTCCTTGTGCTTCTCCAGTAGGAGCACACGGAATCTTTCGTTAGAATCCCTGGTTAACTAGGCCTCGTCGCAGTGCTTAAGGATACGAAACGTTGCTGAGTTCACCCAGGGTCCGGTCAGCTGAGAAAGAAGCGAGCTAGCTAAGTCAGTAAGCATTCACAAACAGTTAGTGACAATGATTGTGTTTTTGATTGTGTTATCCTTTCCAAATTCTGACGGTGAAAATGTGCGGTGATATTGTTCGGAATAGACGAGTGCACTTCCGGTATTTTCTTTGAACTGAGTTGAATCAAATTGTTTGCTACTTCTAGGTTTTCGATCTGACTTACTACTGCCCAGCTGACATCCAAATTCACGAACTCCGGTTGTAGCGAACTGGGCCCATCGAACAGTATTTAACGCAGACACCACCGATGATGTGACTTCAAAATGACACCATCCGACTCGCTATCCTTATCAGAATGATGTTCCTTTCTACCTTTTTAGTGTTTGTTCTTTAATCAGTTCAATATCAAGCGTACTAACCGTGTGCACCGACTGGGTCGTATTGATTAGTTGTGTTGCGTATAGTGAGAGAAAAGTACTTCAAGGTCGGTGTGCATTCAGTTGGGTGACCAATAGCTCTTCACGTGTGCGCGTGTGTTGTAGTTTGATACATATACTTGTTTGATGAATCTATTAGAACGTGGTTCTCCAGTCATCGGATAAGATGTCCTCATCTGGCTGAGAACTAAATAATAGACCGTTGCAGCCCATATCCTTTGTCATAGTTTATAGCTGAGTATACTACAGCATCTCGGTAAAATATGACTCATCATGGCAGTTACATACACACAACTTCGGTTATGACGTTCTACTAGTGCCAGGCTAGGGTTGCAAATAAGCTGTTTTGAATACACAGTTCGGGCCATTGCACCTGTGCAACGTGGTAGACTTGGATCGTCATTTTGGTAACACACACGGACACGCATTTTGGTTTCAGATCCTCAGATAACAAGCCATTCGTGATTTAGGCAGTTCTGTGATTGTGCACTGACTCGTATTTGTCGCATCCTCACCTTCTCATTCGTCGTTGACTGAGTAACGACCGTGGTAAGGATGTTCTCAGGTGTCTTGTCGTATCAACGAAGTTTCTAAGTGGTTGTATATGAATTCGTAATGAATGTGCGTTTCGCCCACCGTTGTTCTACAGAGTCGGTATGCATCGTACTTGTGCAATACTAACGGCTGATCGCGGGAGTTGAGGCCAGTAGCTGCTTATCTCCCAAGTCTTTGAACAACTAATCGACCTTGAAACCTCTAAATGCCCACATTTACGGTGGGTATATTCATGAACAACTGCAGTTTTTGTTCCCCTCCATCGCCTCTCATTATTCCTCTGATTTTGCTAAACGCCGTCTTGGTTGGACCAGACTGGCAATGCTTTCAGACCAATCTCAATCGCACTAAGTTCTCTTCTGTTACATTGATCATTTGGATATACCGTTATCAATTCATGACCCGGGTTTTGATGTTCCGACATCTGAACTCAGGCGATCATCTCGCCCGGATACCTCGGGTGCTAGGTTGTATACCTTAAAATTGTCGCTATGATAAACAGACTGCTGTCTTCACAGATATTGTTGTGTGGACATCTAGAAAACTTATCTGACACTGTAATCAAGTACCCGTACTATGTTCATGACTGATATGAGAAAACAAACTTAATTATTTACGCCAAGAACTACAGTGTTGACTATAGAATTCAAACCTCTGCCAACTAGCATCTCACATTGTCAGAAAATATGTTTATTCTTTGTTTATGTTAAAGTGCTGTATGATAATTCAATGGGCTATGATGCAATATTCGGACAGTTAAAACTAGAATAACCCATCATTCCACCATTGCTTCATTGGTTGTTAGTCTGCTAATGACGAGTAAGAAGGCTGTTATATAAGTTTTCTATGACAACTTTATAACGGTTATGTGTTAGTTAACGTAAGTTTCATTTATTTTCATTACAGTCCGATCCAACATCGTTTGCCAGTTTGGCTTCACAAGGCCAGTAAGTTATTCTACTAACTTTTATGAATGCACAAGAAAGCGCGTTCATTGACTCATTTATGTTTTGTTCTGGGAGCACAAAGCATGCAAAACCTGTTGACTTATCTTCATTGTCCAAGTTACGTATTATTCACTTAGACAAAAAATGAAAGTTTTGTTCGTCTTTTTACGGCAACACTATTCTTTCAGGGTGAATTTATGCTGATTATGTCGTCCATTTTCGGACCAGCTGTGTATGACATTTGGGCTGTGGCATTCCGTCAGTTGGAATATGATTGGTTCGTGTTGAAATCGGTAACTGGAAGAAGGAATGACTTTCAGCAAAGAGGAATGTTAGGAGACGCATCTCCTAACGAAGCAGCAAAAGCAAATCACGTTACATTGATTGATCGATCCGGCCTCGAGTGAATTGATATGTTTTAACTCATTCAACTAATCAATCTCACTCGGTTAATCAGATTGCAGCTGCGCGATCGAACGCCTGTACGTTATCTGAACTGACTTCTCGCGTTCACTTTCTGATGCCCCTGTAACGTGATTTGTTCTAACGCTCTGACTGCCAGATATGATCGTCTCGATTGATTTGCTATGCATCTTGTCGGTCATGTATGGTACTCGTTTCACCCTATAAATTTAGAGCCTCTGCGGCCTAATTCTGACTCGTCTCGTCCTCTCAACAAACGCTGTTGCCGCACCTATTCTCTTTCTCGGTTCTGGGTCAAGCGATTGAGCGCGTACAAAAAAGGACGATCCAATAAGGATCTAAGCGATTGATTAAAAAAAGTGAATGTAACCCGCTGATTGATACTGCCGGATTCTGATCCTTTGTTCATTTCAACTTTGCGAACTGGGCGCTGGGAATCATCCTGTTCATTTTTTTTGTCGAATAGGGTGTGTCACGTGACTACCTTGTTGAGCATACTGTGTATGCTTTGCTCGACGCGGTTGGCCGACCTGGTCTGAAGAGGCTTCTACACAAGAAGTGCAAACATCACTTCTGTTTGTAGTGTACAAGTAGTTTCCAGCCCACCCATTACTAAGTGTTGGATTCTTATGCGTAGTGTGTGAAAAATGCCGCACAACCTAGCTCATAATCCATATATATCCATTTCTTGTCTACTGCAGTTTGGATAAATCAGCTTGAATTTATGCAGTTTTCTTCTCTTGAGTTTAAACGTAAAATTCGCTTAGGTTAAGTTTGCAGTTAGGTGGGAATTGTGTTTACCAGTCTATGAGTCGGTATCTAGTTCTGCAAGCGTTGTTTACACTAGTGTTTTTCATTCGTTTGGAGCGTTCTATTTGTTGAACACTCAGAATCATTTATCTTCGTTCTGTTCTAAAGTCCTCGAGACAAATGTTTGCATGTTGATGGTTTGTGACTTTCAGTCTAAGTTTTAACTTGGACGTCAACGTTTATGAGTAACACGTTCTTTTATATTGTCGCTTTATTGATCGCAGTGTTTTTGTGTGTTGAGTAGTATCATAGTTGAATCCTTACGGTACGCGAGTGCGAATAGCCTCGAACGAATAATGCCATCTCAAATCCTTTCCAGTTGCCCCCGAATTGTAACTTAAAAATACAGGTAAAAGCATTGACAAAGCAGGTTCTGGATAGGCGTTTTATTTAGTCGGGGGATGTTGCGAATTTATATGAAACACTCATCTGTATTTGCCGAGATAGATGGCCTTGGTGCTGCGTTCGTACGCGAACATATTTATGTCATACGACAGTTCATATTTCCTTAACGGTTTGAGACATTAGAATTTAGACAATAAAATTGCGT